AAGTTCACAGCTGCCCCAATCGACCCATCCAAGATCGATCCCTGAAACCACTGGCGCCCCTCTAAAGCACCCGCATTCTTCTCAAGATCACAGTCGCCCTATCCGAGATCAATAGCGCCCTCAAGAGCCACTATCGCCCAACCCCCTTGAGACTGAAGTCGTCCCGTTTGAGACTAAATTTGCCCCATTTAAGCCCAACGACGCCCCTTCAGAACGTCCGGCGCGCTTCTGAAGATCACGTCCATCTAAACGAAGGTTACAGCTGCCCCATCTTAAGATCGATGGCAGCCCTCTGAAACCAATGGCGCCCTTCTAGACTACCCGGCACCCCTCTGAAAATCACATTTGCCCCATCCGAGACAACGCCCCTTTTGACTACAGTCGGCCCACCCAAGCTCAAGCCCCTCCAGAGCCTCCCTGCGGCGCCCTGCTGAAGGCAACAGTGGCCCCATCCATGCCCAATGGCGCCCCTCAACGCCGTTCTAAAGATCACAGTCGCCCCATCAATCCGAGGTCGCTGGCGCCCCTCAAGAGCCACTGGCGCCCACCTGAACCGGGGCTTCAGTCGGCCCATCCTTGATCAATGGCGCCCCTCTGAAACCACTGATGCTCCTCTGAAAATCCCAGTCGGACCATGCGAGATCAATGGCGCCCCTCCAGAGCGTCCGACGCCCTACTGAAGGCAGCAGTGACCCCATCCAAGCATTGCACCCCTCTAGAGCACCCGGTGCCCTTCTGAAGATCACATTCGCCCTATCCGAGGTCGTTGACGCCCTCCAGTCGTCACTGACGCGAAACTGAATGGATACTTCGGTCGCCCCGCCCCATTCAAGATTGATAGCGCCCCCCCCCCCCGAAACCACTGACACTAGGCAATTATTTGACAATGGGGCTTCTCATCGACACCAAGGGCCCTTTTCAAGATGCAGCAGCTAGGCGGCGCCGAGCTGGGCTTGGATGTGCCAAGCGTTCCTTATTAGGCAGCCTTGTAAGTGCCACCCTCGTTGCGATACCGCCCCTCAACGCGACGCTACCCCTTCACCGTACAATGCCATCCCTCAATGCAAGTGGCGCCCCTCAGCGCTGTGCCGCCCATTATTGCAATGCCGACAGCGCCTAGCAGTGCGGTGCCGCCCCCAGCGTAAGCGTTTTTTATTGAACCTACTGGGGGTGTTTGAACATCCACTTCTAACTCAGCTTGTGGGCCACGTCGAGACACGCAGTAGGCGGCGTTCGAAAGAGCGTCAAAAACTATTACAAAACTACTTAGATCATTTTAAGGTTAGGTCGAACTGGTCGAAGGTCAGGTCACCAGCGACAACCGAAAATCAAATTTCGCCGATGTTGACATTTTTCGACAAAGCGGCGCATAAGTCAGGATTCAGAAAGAGATTGAGCTACAGCGCCGCAGCAAAGCGCATATTCGATAGCTCTTTTTATGCTCTTTCTTATTGATTATCTCAGATTTGACCTAAGGTAAACGTTTTAGCCTCAAAATATACGTTTTCGCGGAGGACGTTTATCTGTATACCTTTTAGCTCAGACCTGCACGAGATTAGTTCAACCAGCATCGTGTTCCATTTTTCGAGACAGACGAGTCAAATGAACTAGAATTTGACATTAAAAGGGCATTTGAGAATATGACCTAAGGTAAAGGTCATAACCTAACCGGTAAAAGTCATATTGCATATTAGTCGATCCGTATTTTCGAGAAGGAAAATAATTATATAGGGTGTTTCATTGCTCTACCATATCTCTATCAAAAGTTATTGTCCAAAATCTACTGGAGACCTTTCATGACCTGAGATGACCTCAGTAACATAAAAGTGGTCACATCACGAGTGACGTTTCCCGATTAAATGTGTCATATTTACCTGCATCACGATGGTTGAGGTTGTTTTTGTTCAGAAGAAGAGCATTTCAATTGTCTCCCATTAATCCGCGCCGTGCTTGAGAGGGGGGGGGGGGTTACGCCCCCCTTAGGTTTTTTCTCGCGAATATCTCAAAAACGGCGTCGCGCAGCGCCTGCGTTGTCTTTGGTACACCTGTTCATACATCTTTTCTACACAGCTTGTTAAATTTCAGATGAGACTCGTTCAAGGTCAGGTCACTAGGGCACGTCAAGTGACCTTACCTAAAAAAAATAAAAGACCCGCTATAGCTACACCGACTGAACGATCACTTTCGAAACTTTCAGAGATTGATAAGACTAACAATATGCATAAAATGTTCATCTCGGACTTTTTATTTCTGTGACCTAAGGTCAGGTCAATTTTGGGACCTCAAGTCAGTGGGAGAAAAGTGAAATGCGCCTCTTTTGGACGAATGTCGTTTAAAACCCCCTTAAACATCGGTTCATAGGTAAACATAACACACTGAATCGTAAAAATGCACCTGTGTCCTTTTATGTGCCCTTGAGGTCATCTCAGGTCATAAACGGTCACCTATTTTATCACCATAAACTTTTTTTTTTTGCTTCAACTTTTGATAGAGACGTGCTAGAGCGGTGAAAACACGTCAGATGTGGTCAGCTCGACGATACGGATCGACTGATCTGCAGAATGACCCTTTCCGGTCAGGTCATGACCTTGACCTGCGGTCAGATTTTTAAAATAACCTTTAAAGGTCAACGTATAGTTCATTCGACGCGTCTCGACGAGAGGAACACGAGGCAGGCAAAATAAATATCGTCACTGTCTTGAACCAAATGTTATTGCAGAAAAACGCTTTTCATAGAAACTGTTATTTTTGAAATTTTTGCCCTCTGGAGGCTAAACCATTGACCTGAGATCAAATCCGAGAGCAATATTCAGAAAAACCTGTAAAAGGGCTATCGAATGCGCTTTTCCGCGGCGCTGTAGCTCTATTGGTTCCCGAGTTAGCCGTTGGCAGTTTCCAAAATTGTTGAAATGGACTAAATTTTACCTTTGATGACTTCTGGTGACCTGACCTTTGACCTGACCTAAAAATTGAAACGAAGCCTTTCCGTCATTATTTTTGACGCTCTTTCGATTTCCCCTTACCGCGTGTCGCTATACGTGGCCCAGGAGCCGAGTTAGAGGAGGGACGTGAAAACACCCCCCCCCCCCCCCAGCACGACACGGAAAGCACACGCCACCAGCACGGCGCGGGTTAACTAATAGGTAATCGGTAACTTATAGGTACTTATAGAGAGGTTGCAAAATTGACCTGGCCCTCAATGAAGATATTTGGTCTGAGGATTACGCAAGGCGAATGTTCGGTGAGATCAGCAGGTTTCTATGGCACTTATTCAAAGTCGACCATGCACACTCACATCATCAAAAGTCGTCTTCTATACTACGCCGGCCGAAGACATTCTTAACCTTCGTGCCACTATATGGGACAGTTTCACGCCTCACCCATCTGGCACTCATGCAGTCATGAGTGTCTGAGATTCTAAGCACGGCCACCCCGGTCGACCAGAGGCTGCAGTCCACAGGTCACTTTGGTTCAGTGAGTGAACCTGTATGTTTTTTTTTTGCAAAGAATAAAGATTGTGCCTATCGATCAACGCATATTTTACCGTTTCGAATTCGAATGGGTGTGTATTTTGGGAATAACATGTCCGTAGCCTGAGCTCGTTTCCTATATCGTGCTAAATATGCATAAAGATAAAGGCTTTTGATAAAAAAAACACTGGGCTGCAAATTGCATTAATCGGATTTTATGAAAAATCAGCGAAACCTGGTTCTGATACTCGTGCCGGTTCCGTAGTAACACCTAGTAAATCATGCATGAATATATGACGTTAGATTTTAGACTGACCCCCTGTCACTAGCTCAATGGCGCCCCTCTCAAGGGAAAAAGTCGCCCCCTCGAGCACCATGCCCCCCCCCCTTTCGATGATTTCTGGCTACGCCACTGGATGTGGCAAAATTGACCTGACCTTAGGTCACCGGTATCGAAGTTTCGAGATACACATTTTGTACAAACTGTTGGCCTTATCAATCGGTGAAATTTTCAAAGCAATCAGCCACTGGGTGTGGGTATGACAGACATTGGTACTTCAATCGTTATTCGTGAAAAAACTGTCTACTTTAAGCGCCGCTATTTTGACTTGTTTACCCCGGTGAAGTCATTTTTTACCTGACCTGAAAATGACCTCAGTAAAAATTGTAGACTTTGTCCGTTTGTATCCCATGCCATTTACCGCTTGTTTCTATCTTGCTTCGTTCGCTTGATATCACGGGGAGCAGGTATCCGCCCCCGTCGGTGTGAAGTTGGCGCGGAACGCGGATCCCCGTTGGTGCGCAGGTTAAACCATGATATTTCGGACAAAAAGACTATCTCGCCACTCAAAGTAAAACTTCAGGTCTCAGGACGTCCGGAACCGAAAACCCATTGACGCGGCACGAATGCGTCGCTGGCTACCAAATGCTGCTGTCTGGTATAAATAAAGTGAAAAATTGTTTCCATTTTTTACAACGCATTCTGATGTACGGTTATCAGAGCAGGGGCGCGGGAACTACTTTCAGACTGGAGAAGGGGGGGGGGAACACCATAATTGAAATCAACCTAGGGTATACCCAAATCTAGTTTTCTCGCCGGTTTTAGGCCACTTATTTTTCATCCCTTGGCGTTTTCATCAAAAAAGAAAACATTGGCAAAAAAGTGCGCTATATTCCGTCTGAAATCTGTGGGGGCACCGCACCCACGGCCCTAGAGTTGGGGGAGGGGGTAAACTGTCCCCGACTTCCCACTGCCCCCCCCCCCTTTCCCGCGCCTATGAATTAGAGAAAACAATGCGTTCAAAGAATCGTAACAGTGATGCCAGTACCAACTTTGGTTGGGGGTGCCCAGAGCCCCTTGGGGGGTGCCCAACTCAGCATTGGGGGTGCCCGGGCACACCCAAAAGTATACAAATCGACACCTATGGATCTAGTTACGCTAACTTTCGCAATTAATTTGTCCGAAAGCATAGCAAATCCACTTAGGATATAAAAGTCACATGTGAGATTGACAGTGACAATATTGGACAGGTGAGCTACATGGAGATATACTGCGAGCGAGTGCGCGATCTGCTCAACCCGAAAAACAAGAGCCACCTGCGCGTGCGCGAGCACCCGCTACTGGGTCCCTACGTGGAGGACCTCTCCAAGATGGCGGTCACATCGTACGAGGACATCCGGGACCTGATGGATCAGGGAAACAAAGCCAGGTAGGTGTATGTACTTACTAGCGAGGCATCAGACAGGGTGAGTGCAGCAATGAGGCCACGAATTTGTTACAGAAGAGCACTTATACGTGCAGCAAGATGCAGTCTGGTGACTAAACGGTTTGTGTAGTATTTAGTGTGCTCATGTATGCATGTACTTACCGTCCTGATGAAGGCCACGGTGGGTAGTAAGGTTGGGACCGGATTTAGGGCCTTGGGACCGGACATGTCTAAAGTGTGATAGGTGTTGTAGGATAGGCAGATAGCGCCACTACCTGGTAAGGCCCTTTTGCTGCCATTCAGGATGAACCAGGCTTTCGGCAGGGATCGCTTTGGACGTTCTGGACATCATCGCGTTCTGAATTGTTCTGAATCGGGACGATTGAAAAGGACGTTTCCTTATGAAAATTAAAGCGATCAAGTTATGCATCTTGCTGTTTATCCACATTTATTTCAAGGTAACTCAAACTTCTTCATTTATAATTCGCCACTTCGTGAATCCAGCCGAGAAGTTTAGTGTTTCCTGGGACCGTGCTCATCCCTTGAATGTTCCATCCTTTCCACCGGGTCCCTTTCGGCGGCTGTTGAGCCGTCGGCCTCCGTGCAGTATTTATCGCCGTCATCTCCTGGGTGCGTCGTTTTGGCTGGCCGCTGCGCCACTGGTCGCCGCACAGAGGTGAGCTCGCCGCTCACATTAGCGGCGCGGAGCGACAAAACTGGACCGACGGGCTGGCGTGCCGACCGTTCCCCGGAGGCGCTCGCGGTGCCGGCGATCCCGCGAGGTGTCCGCCGGTGTTGGCGACAAATGGCAAGCCTGGGGCGGATCCCAATGGTAGTTGGGGCGGTGCCCGCCATGAGACAGTGTCCGCCATGTGACAGTGTCCGCTAGTCCCCTCTGGGACGGTGCGGTGTCCGCCGCTGTTGAGGAAGGTGTCCGTCGGTCAAGAAGTGTCCGTTCTGTGACAGCAACGCGATCCCGTGTGGTGTCCGCCGGTGTTTGGGAGTGGGACGATCGATGGATGTCAGATAGCACTGGCCCGCGCTGACGTCAGAGCTGCCAACACGCCGCGTCGGGCTGCCACGGATTTTCGGACCACGCCGCCCGGCTGATAAAGGCCTCTGCCCATCGACTCAATGACGTCATAAGTGTGCACTTGGGTGGAGATGGTCGGATGTGGGTTTTTATAGGCGGCCCTCAGCCCGAGGAGGGGATTAGTGGTGGATCGCCGATGACCACTTCGTGACGTCACGCGACCACTTAGCTGAACATGCCTGGGCGCCCTGTCTGGACGAGACGCGCAATATGGCTGCCGGCTGGATATGAGCGACCGCATTGTGGGGGATTGGACGGTCTTATCTGTATCTGTGAGTGCTTGTTGCAATATTAGATGAAAACGAGTGTGTTTCGTCAATATCCACTGATTTGGAAAGTGTTTTATCAGACACCGCCAGAGCATGCACGACATGATGCTTGCTGTAATGTGTTTAACAAGGCTTGTACGCCTCAAACGTATTCTAGCTCTTAAATCAATATGACTCAGCCTCTTTATATTTGATTTATACTTAACCCTCGCACGACCAGGCCATTTCTCATAACACGAACGACCAGGGGGGGGGGGTTGTTACGACCCCCCCCCCCCCTGGCGTTTCGAAACGGAAGGTCGTAGAGCTTAGCGGAAAAAAACCAACGGATTGCTCTCAACGAGATCTCGCGATTGGTGGTATATTTTTTGGTCCTAGGTCAACATTTGACCTACTTATGACCGGTCAAAGGTCAAATTTTCCGAAAAAATCAAACTTTTTCAACTTTCCGCGGCGATTGCGGCAAAACGGTGGGAGATATCGACTTGAAACCTTCACTATCGTGTTCCTTGATCAATTCTCTATCGTTTGGTATGTATTTCGTTTCCCTAGCTCTAAAAATGGCGCGTTGGGAGCGCCGGAAGTCGGCAAGGTCACAGTCGGCGGCAGAAATTCGAAAAATCAAAATTTAAATTTTTGAAATCTGATTGTATTTTTGGATTTGGGAGGTCCATTTGCTCCCTATAGAAGCTAATATTGCTGCATATTCCCATTGAGGTGACAAGAATTAGCAAAATAGTGGTTCGGGCGCTTTTCAAAAATAGTACCGGACGCTGTTCCTCTTGTGACGTCATAGCTCCGTGACCTGACCTGACTCGGTCAATTTTCTTGCACCACACGATAGCCAATGCTTGCCCCAACATGCATGGGAAGTTTCATCATGATCCATCAAACAATGTGGGTATCACCGGCAGAAAACCTAGGGATTCGGCGCACACGTTTGGTAACTGTCGGCCGGAGGCTGTACCTCTTATGACGTCATAACTCCGTGACCTGACATGACCCGATCAATTCTTTTTCGGCAAAAGATGCGCAAAGGTTGCCCCAGAGGGTATTGAAAATTTCAGCCCGCTACGACAAGTTGTTTAGCGTGCACTTCGAAAAAACCTCAGAGGGGGGGTTGATACAACCCCCCCCCCCCTAGGCGTTCTAGGGTTAAGCTCAAGCACTAATCGGACAGTTACCTATACGTTGCCTGAATTGCTGACTGCTTTGTCGTAGTCATGCTGCACCAGTCACCGTTAGAGGGACAATTAACATACGAATCAGAACCAATTATCACAGCAATAAGTCAGGGCAATAGGCTGGAATGGAAACGCCAGTGGATTTCGACAGCAACATAATTGCATTGTCAATCGTTGAAGCCGTGTGTCGTGATCGCAGCATAATTAGCCGGACCGCTGACAGCGGTTCAGTGTGTGACGTCTGTTTTTTATGTTATTTTTTTTTTTTAATAAGCTTGTAATAAATGTTGACTGTTGTAACAACTATCAAATGTCTTGGATCGCGCAAAAGCCCGGAGCATAGGGTAAGGGCGGGTAAGAGGACACAGGCGACAAGAGTACGCAGCAGCTGTTTCGGTTGCTTAGCAACGCCTCATCAGCGTCATCTCGAGTCCTAAGGAAGCTGTCCCTCACGCGGCTTCGATGGTGGAAGGTGGGCGCGCTACGGGTTCACTTGTCTTTTTTAGAGGCTTAGACGTGTTTTTCACATCGCTTTTAGACTTTTTGGGGTGCAGGAAAAGGTGTGACCTTCCTCAGGGAGCGGCAATAGAATTTTCATTTTTTTCCTATCAAGATACCACGGGGAATCTGGTGTGTGTGTCAAGTCCCAATTGTTAACGCGACGACTGTGGCGCCAGCTCTCAGCCCGCTTTGTGTCTACCGTATGTGTCGGCCATGAGTACGCATTGCCGTGGCGGACAAGAGTACGCAGTTTTCCGAGTGCGTGGTTGTGTTGCATTAATCAACTTAGTGCATCAGGCGCGCAACCCCTCAGCAGATTCACGGGATTGGCCAACAAGGTGGATGACACTCGGGGGGACGCCGAGCAGTTGGGGAAACCACGAAGAGCATCACTGTTTCTGGTAGACCAGGGGGCATTTGCACGACCACAGCGGGGCGCCTCGACTCTGTTAACCCTCGCCCGCACATGCCATTTTTCCATCCTAGAACGCACATGGGGGGGGGGGGGGTTGCCACCCCCCGCGCCATTTCGTTCCTGTTGGAGATAGAGCTTAGCGGTAAAGACCAAAAAGATTCTTTGGGAAGAGACGAATCCAATGATACCCAGTTTTACCTTCTCAGGTCAGTCATTGACCTTCCAGGTCAGGTCAAACTAAAAAATGTTGCTGTTTTGGGTCACCGTTGGATATCAAGTGCGCTGCTTATCAAATACCGATGACGATGCTGTTTTCTGGTGCCAAGTCAGCTAGAACCTCTTTGTTACACTACCCGACCAGAATTTTGCTGCTGAGGTCATTTCAGGTCAAGTTAGGTCAAGGTCAATTATATGTGTTTGTATGTCTGTGTGTGTCTGTGTGTATACTGATGTGTGCACCGATTGTTTTTGGGTCCATATTACATGAAATCATGATCTGAGAAGCTTTTACCAAAAATGCAGTAAAAAAAACTTCACAAAAAGTAAATTCAGCTTGCCTAAAACGCAATTATCTTAGATGACCTAGGTTGACCTTGACCCTGACCTTGACCCCTGTACATCGTCGAACAACATGTTCCATGATAGGTGGGAGGTAAGACTGGCAAAAAAGGCCGAAATCAGGGTGTCAAAAGCTCACAAGGCCCATGGCAAACGCAAGATGTTGAGAATTGGCCATTTGGGTCATGACATGACCTGAAAAACAAGGTCATATCTCCGAAACCAAAAATCACAGAAACTTGAAATTTTCAGTGGACATCAAGAAAGGATAGAGAAGCAGCTATACGAAAAATCAACTTTCTAGCTCTAAAAATGTTGAGTGCAGAGCAGAAAGACTACCTGGGGGGGGGGGGCAACCACCCCCCATGTGCGGGCGAGGGTTAAGAGTGACCGTTTTAGTGGCTGCGGCAATAAAGATAACAATAGTTTAATTACTTGCATGAATGCATTGATTCCAGCGAGTAGGAATGCATACACGTAGTGCGTATGTACTGCCTATCGGACAAGAGTACGCAAATGCAGGGTGTTAGAAAATTGCTTATGGTCACGCTTTAAATTGGACGTAGGCCGCTGTGGTCATGACAGTTTGTAGACAAATGATCAGGCTTTATTGGAATATACTGATCGTAGCCGTAAACCAAAACCGAACGGCGTGAGACGACAAAATGCAATAGGTGCGTACTCTTGTACGGTCCTCCCCTATCTTTTGGCGCATCTAGTAATATTTCACTTATAATTCGTCCTCCGTGTAAATAAACTGAGCTTAAACTCATAAACGCTGAAAATTCCAAAAAGTATCGACTTTGTTCTCCGCAGAACGGTGGCGGCGACAAACATGAACGAGACGTCGAGCCGGTCGCACGCCGTCTTCACCATCATATTCGCTCAGAAGAGGCGCGATCCCGACTCGGGCACCGAAACCGAAAAGGTAGGTGGCTTCTGGTCAAAGGTGTTCACTGAGGCTCCGTCCGTTGTGGGACTGAAACATCTGCACCACTGAGACACGCTTGGCGCTGGTTTCGCTACATTGTGTTGTGTAACTAAAATCATTCTTTTTGTGATACCATATGATATTTACGCATTGGAATTTCACCCAAATTCACGATCGGCTCGACGACGATCGGAGAGCAATGACCTGGCGCGCTCGGCTCGGGCGCTCGCCAGTCCAGTGTGGGAGCCACCACAGCTGATGAGTCGAGTCAGGTAGCTCTCTGTCAAATTATTCAATCTTTTTTTGACGCGGTCACCCTGTTTTCTATTCACTTTTTTTGCATTTTGTTGGATCGAAATCGCTGTATGTGATTTTATTGGTGGGTTTAACTTTAATAACTAGAGTCTTTATCAGTTCAAGTCTCAAAGCACTTCCAAAGTTTCATATTTTTACACCTCGAGGCATACACTTATCACACTGAATTAACTGTTGGAAGTTTGGCAACGAGCGAATATCATCGCGTCTCAGGAATTTCATCACAATATGCCGGGCCATTACTTTCAGCTTACGGTCCCATATGACACCAGCGAGCGGCGGAATATTGACGGCACCTCCTCTGGGCACATTACTCTCACTCTTTCCCCTCCCGCTCTCCCTCTTCCGGTCGGGGAGGCTCGCCGGCTCCCTCGCGTCTCCGGCGCTCACTGTCACGTGCTTGGCGCTCACCCCCACCGTCCGATGCTCACCTCTCTGCCCCTGTGTCTCACCAGGTCAGCAAGATCTCGCTGGTTGACCTGGCGGGGTCGGAGCGCGCTGACTCCACCGGAGCCAAGGGCACACGGCTGAAGGAGGGAGCCAACATCAACAAGTCGCTGACCACCCTCGGGAAGGTCATCTCGGCGCTGGCTGAAGTGGTGAGTATGGCCAACACTCTGAGACGTGGATTGGTTGGCTTTGTATTACCGTCGATAGCGAAGATCGAGGGCCTTCATAGCATATCTTTTAGTAGTGCTTATTTCTAAGGCCTGTGAATACCTGCAGATAAGCTACAACTTCTACACTAGTCGATTTTGCATATCCCTACCATTATGCACATATACCTACCTTTGTAATTTATGTGCATGGTTTCAGCACCGAAGCAGCTCACACCGCATTTAAATCTGTATTTTACGTTTTTCCTTTCCTTTTTACAGTCTGCAGCACCGGTGAGTACTGAACTGAAAGACAAAGGGGTGTCTGCGTTTTATTGACCATTTGGAAGCGTTTGTCGGTAAAAACGACTGATTTCAAACGTGTAATGATAATATGTGTTTTTTAATACAATTGCGTGCCAACAGCTCAAGCAGTTGTTGAGGTTTTCGTAACCTTTCCAACAGTCAACATAGTCTTATTGCCAGCTCTAATGTCAACCATAACACCAAGGCGAGCGTGCAAACAGCCTGTTCGTGTCGCATTACCATGTACTGGCCCACCCTACGCCCAATACTAGGCCCAACCGCCTAGCAATGTTTGGGGGATACACAATAAACCTCATACATTTATTGTAAATAAATCAGCGCCATTGGTTTTATGTCAGTGGTACAGCGGTATTCTGTGCCAATAGACTGCTGGGTGTTATGGTAGCTCGTTTATGATGTCAACATATTTCCTGATTCCGTCCAAATGGCGGCAGCTATGGCAGGCTAGTCCGCGGATTGCCTTTGTTTCGTCTTTAGTCGTAGTTTACGAGAACGGACGGATTCCATTCTCACACCGAGCCGCGCTGATCAATTGACCGCACAGCTCAGAGCCGAGGTGACCGGGGGTAAGGGTGTGGCTCGGTACAGAGAAAATTGGACGTCACTGTTGACCGATGGGCTGCACCGAGGAGCTGCTCATGGGGCAGTTGCTCAAGGTTATCATAATGAATTACCTGGTAGAAGCAATTGCTCTTGACCGACATCATGAGTTATTGAATGGTTTCATCAAACAGCGAAGCGCTTCTGTCCAGTACAAAGGTATACATCAATTCGTCATTCGTCGCAATCTATCATCACGTGAAAGTCGTTGCAATCATTTGAGATGTGGAATTCAGCAGGCACAAATTACATCTGCTGTACCCGTAATCACAAATATGGTGTCTCATAACTAGGTTTACTTTCAGATAATATCCTCAGATGTACGAGTATCGTATGGCACTGGTGAGCGATATTTTGAATCAGCAATCAATCATTTTGTTTTCTCTTTTATCCGACTCATCACACAAAAATCAATAATTCAGTTTTAAGAATCCTACATGGCAGCGACACTGCCTCCAGGCGTCCAAGAAGAAGAAGAAGGCCGAGTTCATCCCGTACCGCGACTCTGTGCTGACCTGGCTGCTGCGGGAGAACCTGGGCGGCAACAGCAAGACGGCCATGGTGGCCGCCCTCTCCCCGGCCGACATCAACTACGACGAGACGCTCTCCACGCTGCGGTGAGACGCGGGACTCAGCGAGTGGGGGGGGGGGGGGGGTTGCAGCGAGTGGGGGGGGGGGGGTTGCAGCGAGTGGGGGTTTGGAGACTATGCCTTTTCTAAAAGCTGTTAGAGTGAAAGAGTTGCCATGACTAATAGGTTATTGTAGGTATGTTTTTGTCTTCATTTATCCAAAGCACATATCCTTTGTATTTACCGGTAAAACAAGCAAAGCGGTACGACAAGACATGATGGCATTGATAGGCATTATGTTCCGTCAAAATTGATTTTAGTGTTATTACTGTTATTCATAGTGCCACTTTGCATACGAACTGAATTTCCCCCGATTTTTAGTCAGCTACCCTGTGATCGCTCTCACACCAGACACTGCGCTCTACAGGTACGCCGACCGGGCCAAGCAGATCATGTGCAAGGCAGTAGTGAATGAGGACGCCAACGCCAAGATGATCAGAGAACTACGGGAGGAGATCAGCCGACTGCGAGACCTGCTCAAAGCCGAGGGCGTTCAGGTCGAGCAAGGTCAGTCGCCAAGGTCGCTGTTCACTGCTCCCTATTCTTCCTGTTCAGTAAGGTCACGTACCACTGCAGGGAGTCAGTCGAATCACTTCTCGTGCCAGCTAACTACGACTCGTCTGGTCGGGGAATGCTACTGCGGTGTAGCGGTACTGGGATGGCCGCCAGCAGAATGTAGATTACCGACAATGGGACTAAAGGAGGGCGTAATGGGATTGGATCTCAGAAATACGCCACTGTGCTGAATGTTCATCAGTGATCAGACTCGGGTCCCTGACCCCGGCTGGACTGGTGGCAGATGTCAAAGGATTTTTGTAGCACCCCTATGCACGCAGTACATATAAAATTGCTAGCAGACAAGCAATTTCCTCCGAGCATACAAGCCAAGTGCCAAAACGATGTAAAAAATCGTATCTGCTCTCCATATGACACGCCCCAAAGCTAATGTTTTTACTGGGACACAATTTTTCAGCAGGCAATGCTGTGCTGTCGAAACTGCTGACTACTTTATATTATTTGCCGACATTGCTTTTCACTCAATGTCCTAAGTAGGTCCTAAATCCACAAGTTTAAATTTGAGAGTGCCGTCGAAACAGTGCATTTTAAAGTTTTAAACTACTTCCCTCACACAAAGCCGTCGTGACTGGTCTCTTTCAGACGGTACGGTACAATATTCCAACGATAGACAAAAGACAGGTGAGTGGTGCCGACAAATGTTCCTTGGTGCGCACTATGTATGTCAGACTCAGTGCAGTTGCGCTTCTCTGCTGTCTGCTGCATTCGCTGAGCCGTCTGCTTTTCTGTAACATCTGACGCTGCAAATGATATTCCTGCCACGCAACAGGCTAGCCAACGGGGGTGGTGACGCTGCTTTAAATAGTTCAGAATATAAAGCCTGGCAGCAGCTCGGTGGTAACGCTGCTTTAAACAGTTCAGAATATAAAGCCGGGCGGCAGCGCCGTCGCTCCCAGGGCTGATTGTCGCTGGCTCTGGCTGGCTTCTGAGGACCGCCACGAGCGCTATGTTTAGACCCGGCGTGTCGCCCAATGGCGGCGGCGTCCTGAGTAAATCATAGCCTGGTATTTCAATTCCGGCGACTGCAGGCGCGTCACATTCTGCTGAGCTTGTGACGAGCATTTTGAGATCAGTTTTAGAGCTGGCTTTGTGGACAGCTCTCCGGTCGCTGACGTTATTTGGCCGGAAGCTGGGCACTGCTTCGTAATGCGCTCAAAGCGGCTTAGCTCACCAGACTTCTTAGTATTCTTGGACTTTGAATTTGACATATCTGCGTTATGCGTACTGAAGTTCTACAAATATGCAACCTCGACATGTTTTGACACTGTTTGATTAATTCTGCAGATACTATAAGAAGCGCTTCGCAAATTGACTTTGAATGGAGCTCCGATTGTGAATCCGTTTGGAGCGCCGATTTACTTTGCAAATGCATCTAGGGTTAACCCGGCCGGGCCCGGGGGGTAATCCCAACCACCGCAGCCCGGGGGGGGGGGGCGTTTTTCGCCCCCCCCCCCCCTGTCTAACTCCGTAAATAAGGGAGCTACGGAAACAAAAGCGATACCAAACGAAAGGTCCTTACGAGACGATTCTAAAGCACCTAAAATTTTTGACCTCAGGTCAATTTTCAAGGTCAGAGGTCAAGGTCAAAGGCAAAAACCGGCACATGTGTAGTGATCTCAAAGTAAGCCTTCTAGAGGACGGCAGGCTGCATCAAACCGGCAAAATTGGGTGTCAAACGAAAGAAGAGAATCTGAGGATTCCGAAAATGTGCTTAAAATTAAAGGTCAAGGTCAAGGTCACGCTCAAAATTGACCTCAAACTTGGCACTTTTTCGCACATCTTGTGTGCTAGCTTCCAAGATGTTTTGAAATGTTTTGAGGCTTATCAGTTCCCTATTTGTGGTTCATCTTACGATACAAGGCTGCTCAAAGGTCAAGGTCACAGAAGAGTATCCCTGCTAGAGGCTATTTCACTGATTCAAGTTAGTAATAATAAATAAGACAATTTTGCCGTCCAGAAGCTCTAAATGAAGGCTTAGAGGAAAATAGATGCCAGATTCGTGATCAGCGGGTACAAATCCATCATAAATGACCTCTCATGTGTCAAGGTCAACCAGAGGTCATTCGAGGTCACATGAGGTCAACATAAAACTTGACCTTTTCCAAACAAAATATATATCATTCAACGCGGCTTGGCAAGGCGAATGCGATGGTACCATTGCCGTAGCTCTAGGACATTTTTTGTCGAAGTTATTTGCGAAAAACTATAACCACATTTCGGGGTTGTTGACCTGACCTCTGACCTCAGGTCACCAAAACTATTTTTTTTATTTTTCTCTAGGTCAAACGCTACACAACCGTGCTCGTAATTTGTCTTTATCTCTAAAACTCTATTTTTAGCAGCTATTTGAAGTTTGCGTCTGTGGCGCCGAAGTTTGCCGTGCAGGGGTCTAGAAAAATGGACCTTGTGACGTCATCAATGGGGCTAGGTCCAAATTTTTTACTACAAGATGTCAAATTGATGGGAGAAAAGGTACTGAAAGTTTCGCTTTCCTATCCCTAAGCGTTCGGGAGCTATCGCAAATATTCGCCAGGGGGGGGGGGCGAAAAACGCCCTCCCCCCGGGCCCGCGAGGGTTAATGATTATTCAGCAAAATTCGTGTTTCGCTTTTCCTTGCATGGCCGCTTCAAAGGTTTATAGTTATAGTAGGAAATATCATTAGAATATATGACCTTCTCGGAAAATGACAAAATGAATGAAAATGATTATTTATTGATGAATTGATGATATTTCGGTCGCAGACCTCCGTCTAAATCGAATTCGTTAAATCGTACAAGGCAAAAGTAGCGAGCGAAATGCGCAACAATTGTCGACTGCTAGCATTCGCACTCAGACATCCACCCATTACAAAGTTCGCCCCTGCTTTCTACCACAGAGGAGCTGCGGAACAACGCCATGAACCAGAGCACGTGTTCGGAGCTGGTGACGACCGACCCCTCGGAGCCGCCTTCAGCCACGGCCGCTGTCAAACAGTTGCAGGTCAACGAGAAAATCATGGCAGGTCAGTCCCAGAGCCCCGTAGCACATAGCAGTTCACAGGTCAGTAGCAGACCACACAGCAGGTCAGTGCCGGGGCACCCAATGTAAGTCTCCGGATCCACAGCAGGTAAGGACTGGGACACACAGGTCAGTGCCAGGAAACACAGCAGGCTAGTCCCGGAGCTCACTGCAGGCCAGTTAGACCTCAGAGCAGTCCTCGGAGACCATGGTAAGGCATTAGTTACTGTGAGACCCATGACAGGCCAGTTCTCAAGACCCGCTGCAAATTAGTCCCCAGCGCTGATGGTACCTATCTATGTCGGCTGCCGTCATAAACCGTCATAAACCAACTGAAACCAGCTGCCACCGGTTTCATGGAAATTTCATGGAGTGAATTTAGCGGCTGCTGAGGCGCATGTCTTGTTTCCGAGCGCCGTGAATCGCACAGTTGTAGGCCCAATAGGTTGTTGGATGAGATGCTGTGCCGGCATGCTGTGGTGTCTTGCGGCACAGCATAACTTGCAGTTACCGGCCGAAAGCGACTTGCTCTGCGTTCATGTTCCCTCATTTCTGCAATCGTTGTCGCGTGACAAAGTCGAATCGAATGCTTACTTAAATGAACAAAAATGTCAATGATCTTGAAATATTAATTATCAGTGTTTGCTTTCCGTTATTACGTCATTCTCCTATGTTCCCGGGTCTCCCGCTTTGGGAGCCTTTGGGGCTACTTCCCTGATGTAGCCTATGATATGGCAGAAACGCTTTACGAATACATTACACCGTTCCATTATTCCGTTTGTGAAAGCCCTCTGTCCAAGATGCACTATTCAAACGCGTCCGCCCCCGATGGTGATGTCCCGTGGGACGCTGTGAATTGTTCGGAGGGGATGGACGGTGGACGGCCGGCCGGACACAGACCCGCGGAGTGCGACCGGCCGGCGCCTCTAGGATCGATCGTGCAGAGCCCCGCCGGTCGATTGGCGTCAGAAGTGAGACCCGTCTGACTCCCCCCCCCCCCCCGCTGGGGGTCAGGGGGTCAGTGTCGGCCGGGCCGGGGGTCAGTGTCGGCCCCAGTCAGCTGACTCGCTCCGCCGGCGGGGGGGGGGGGATCAGAGACGCCGCCTCTAACGGCCCGGCGGCGCGGCCGGTCCCGGGCTGCCGGCCGGAGGACAGGCTTCAGGGGCGGAGTTATTAGACCAGGATTGCAGGCACACAAGGCTGTTTGACTTTTGGAATTGGGAGATCACTGAGCCGGCAATTTCGCTGTAGGTACTGGTTAGGTACTGGTTACATGTGGTCACCACAGCAGTACTCGTAGAGTGAAATTGTTATGTTCGAAATGTTTATGAGACGGTATAGTTTTTACACTATAGCGTTCTTGACACAACGATACACGAACATATGTTTACGTATGTTTCATTTAACATATCCCAATGCATTATTGCAAGGATATTGTGATGTTATTTCACTCTTTCCGTACTACATACATAAATGTATTTCAAAATTAAACGCAAACAAAGTGGTACGCACAATGGAATTGGTTAGACGCGGGTATGCATAGAGCTTTGATGCCATGCAATGTGAGCTACATATATGTACTGTTATATAAGGCGCCTCCATATGGCAACGATACGCTTTTACAATGATGAGGAAATTAGCATACACATAGGCTAGTAAATTCAAGTTTATAATAAACCATGCTTTCCTCACCAAACTGTGTGTGTTCTGTGTCCCAGAACTGAATGAGACCTGGGAGGAGAAGCTGAAGAAGACGGACGATATCCGGAAACACCGGGAGACGGTGTTTGCTGAGATGGGCATCGCCCTCAAGGAGGACGGCGGCACAGTGGGCATCTTCTCGCCGAAAAAGGTAACTTCAAAGTAGACAGGGCATGGAGAGATGTTAGTCCACGAATATGAAATCATATGTTGCTACAACTTGATTTCTGTTGAAGCATTTGATTTAATTTGTCCATATAGATAATTGATTTCAAAAGCCATATGGACCAATAATACATTTTTAATGACTCCAAAGCATTGGACATCGTTACATTGTTTCATTGATAAATTAGGATTCCAGTGTTTTAGCTCTCTAAGGTAATTAAAAGTTCGTGGTCGAAGACAGTCATGTCATGCTCCATATGGTTAGTTACTCATTAGCTCAATGGGCATTTCCAGTGGCTCCAAGTAACAAATGGGGCCCATGGAGACGCAATAAAGACGGCGTTCAAGAGCCCATCAGCGTCTGTAATTAAGGTCGCCGAACCGGCGAATTAGCGCATGCGCACGTAAAACATTGGTGCGCCTCCTTGCACAATATATAGGGTGACAACGAGTAACTATTCCCTTGTGTACACGATTCTATTAGATCTCTGCGCTGAGTAATCTGAATTGTTGCCTAGTTACGCTCCGCTTTCGTGCAGACGCCTCACCTGGTGAACCTGAACGAGGACCCGTCCATGTCCGAGTGTCTCATCTACTACATCAAGGAGGGCATCACGCGCGTGGGCTCGGCAGAGGCCAACATCCCGCAGGATATCCAGCTGATCGGCACGCACATCTACAACGAGCACTGCATCTTCGAGAACAGGTCGGTGGCGGGTCAGCTGTCTGGTCTGTCTGTGTGTATGCAGATGTGTAAATACTGTATCGGATCACCTAAAAAGGCTACAGAATTGATCCATTGCAAGCCGATGATAACTACTGTGAATAAAGTTTCATAAGTATGTACACAACTAAGGAATGCTCGATGCAATTTGAAATGTATACCTCTATGTCTGCGACATATATTGTGCAATGTGCATGGACTGCTCTAACCTGGTCCTCAGCTTTACTGAGTGGCGCCCTACACCCACGCTGGATGGGCTGTGGGTGTATCCCCCTCCTAGCCCCCCCCCCCCCTCGCAGGCCGCTCGACGAGCACGCGATCGTCAGATCGAGCCGCTCGACTGCCCGGGCAGCTCCTAACTTGGAGCGATCAATGTGGACGTCATGTTTTATTTGGGGGAAGATATCACGAACGGGACCATTCTGACATCGTTACATATAATTTATAGCGCACGGTTCTCTGAGGTTTTCCCGGTATTCTATGGAGTATGGATCATCTAACACGGGTTGAAGAATATAATGCACTTCTTCAATCTCTTTTTCATAGAAATTCATAGACTACAAAAAATTGGACGTTATTTGTTTGAAGCTGGATCTTGGATATTATTTCTTAAATAGATGATGACACATTCGTATAAACGCATAATTTTCATTAGACCTTCACGCCTGCCAGAAAAAAAAATACAGCGGGTGTTGAGGGTGCTGTGTTGCTGACCTATCTTCCTTTCCCCCTGTTCCAGAGAGGGTGTGGTGATGCTGAACTGCCGACGTCACTTCCTTTCCTCCTCTGTAGAGAGGGTGCTGTGGTGCTGACCTCCCTCTCCTCCTCTGCCGGAGGGTGCTGTGTTGCTGACCTCCCTCCCCTCTGTTCCAGAGAGGGCGTGGTGATGTTGTTTCCGAACGACGGCGCTCTCTGCTACATCAACGGCCGCAGCATCTGCCAGCCGGCGGTGCTGACCACCGGCAGCCGCGTCATCCTCGGCAAGAACCACGTGTTCCGCTTCACCCACCCCGAGCAGGGTCGGTTCCCGCCAGTCGATGATATTGATAACGAGGGTAGAACTGTGAAAGATGAAGAAGAGAGGTCGAGAGCTACAGTAACAGCAGGCAATGTTTAGATGTTGTTGATGCGACTTTGCAACAAAACATGCATTCATATGTATTTATGTATGCATTCATGTATGTATATTAGTGATGCCGTCAAACTTTATTTTGTCTCACTAACATTAGTAAAGATTCTGTTTTGAGATATTCTAATATGTGTGTGTCCATCATTTTTTTTTTATACATTTCAGCGTGGGAGAAGCGCGGAAGCAAGGCAATGACGGAGTCTTTCGTAGCGTCTGAGTCAGCGGACTGGCAGTTTGCGCAGGGAGAGCTCCTAGAGAAACAAGGTAACCGAACTTCGGTACACAAGCTCAATGTCGTGCTTCGCTACGGTTTGTGTGAGCAGCTAAGTGTTTGTTTTATACATATTTTCATGGTTCTCTGTTAGGAGATGATGAATTAATGTATTTTTCCACGATGAATACCAACTTCCGGTAGTTGGCTGTGAGTTTGCGCTGACGCTGAAAGATAAATCTCCCTAGAGGAAAACTTTGCTTTGTTAATGACAAAAGCTTCAGGGGTAGGCAGCAGCCAAAGCATCGCATGCATCATATGAATAAAACATCGACCTCTTTCTCTTGGAAGTGCCTGAAATGATGCAATGTAAAGGCGCCTTGCACTGTTTCTCGGAAAGGGTTACATCAGGTGTTACATATGGCGTCAGCCGTCATTTAATTAATGCCTTAGGAATAGACCCTTCAGGTTTAGTCCTAATTTTGCATAAACTATGATAAGCATTGAAAATTGAACCATGACTTGAAGTGTCACATTTTGATCAGAAGTACGAATTTTATGCCATCAAAGCTTACTTCAAGCCTATTTCCCGCTAACTTATCACACGTTTGCTAGAGTTTTGCAAAGCTACCTTGAAAATGTAGGTTTCTGTTGTCTGTGATAGGTGAAAATATGCCAGGCTTAACGTTACTGGTGTGTTTGCGTTCCATTCAAAGGTATCGACCTGAAAAAGGAAATGGAGAAGCGGCTAGAAAATATGGAGGAACAGTTCAAGAAAGAGAAAGAAGAGAGGAAGAAGGAATATGAGAAGGAAAGACAAGTAAGTATATATGCTTTCCTATTAATCGCAATAGGCAAATAAGAAGTGTTCTGTCGAATGAGTACGTGATGTGTCAATCCATTTGGACAGGAGCAGACACATGTCAATATTTCAGTGTTTTGAAGGCAAGTTGATCTCGACTATTTTTTATTTGTTGTTATGGCGTGGCAATGCCTGATTTTTGTAGGCTACACGTGTGCATTCTTAATCATTCCGTCTAATGGCTGGTTGATGTTTTTCTTTCGTGCCAACTTCTAATCGTTTTTCCTTATCGCTTTTCCAGAGTTACGAGGCGCGCATCGATGCTCTTCAGAAACAGGTGGAAGAGCAGAGCATGACGATGTCCATGTACTCGTCTTCCTACACAAACACGGAGGAAAACATGAACACAGAGGAAGATGTGTTCGGTGAGCAAATGAACACCGCTCAGAGCCTGTCCTGTAGCTCAGTTGGTAGAATGTTGGACTCCCGGTAGTGAGAGCCCGGATTCGAGTCGCTCCGGCTCTCGATATTTGAGACTCCTGACGGGGATGGTCTGCGGTTGGTGCAGGAGCAGCCGCAGCCAGTTGAAGCTAGTTGAGTGGGACAGGCCGTGTCCGGCTTCGAGGGGCACTTTAAACTTTGGCATCTAAATTCTCCCATTATCTGGAATTGCGTGATCGGACGGTGGGGGTCGGAGTCTACGCAACAAGCTCTGCTGAGCGTGGGCTCCGGCTCTGTCAATCCGTCCATTCAAACATTCGAGCTAAATTATATAAAATATGCGAATACCTTAATTATGTAATTTGGTTGTGTGATTGGCAACACTGTCAACCTACTGTAATGACTATCGGGCCTACCCATTTATTCTCTAGTTTATGGCGTTTATGGTACATGGTGACTTTAAAATGAATTTCCGATATTCTACTTTATCGATAATTTCACACTAATCTCAAGCTGCACCCGTGATGTCATCGAAACTTATACCGGGAGGGAGTAGTGATTCTTCCGACCTTCCTTTGGTGAGTGTGACCTCCTCCCGCGTTCCGCAGTAAACCCTCTGTTTGAGAACGAGGCCGTCTGGACGGACCGCGACTTCCAGCTGGCGGCAACCTGTTTCCAGAAGTGGCGCTACCACCAGTTCACCTCGCTGCGAGATGACCTCTGGGGCAACGCCGTCTTCCTCAAGGAGGCCAACGCCATCAGTGTCGAGCTCAAGAAAAAGGTGACAGCCGCTGGCGTTAATGATTACATTGAACTATTTGGTTAAAACGTAAAGCATGCAAGTTCGGAGCTGTCGATTTGTTGTTGCATTTGGCTTGGCTCTCAGGTTTGCATGAAAGTCCACTGTGTTGTCGGATAGTGAGCTTTTTCAAGCTGGACAGAAAATTGTTCCGTTACCTTTTCATCCTTAAGGTGATGAAATATTAACCCTAGAACGCCTAGGGGGGGGGGGGTTGTATCAACCCCCCCCCCCCTGAGGTTTTTTCGAAGTGCACGCTAAACGGCTTGTCGTAGCGGGCTGAAATTTCCAATACCCTCTGGGGCAACCTTTGCGCATCTTTTGCCGAAAAAAAATTGATCGGATCATGTCAGGTCACGGAGTTATGACGTCATAAGAGGTACAGCCTCCGGCCGACAGTTACCAAACGTGTGCGCCGAATCCCTAGGTTTTCTGCCGGTGATACCCACATTGTTTGATGGATCATGATGAAACTTCCCATGCATGTTGGGGCAAGCATTGGCTATCGTGTGGTGCAAGAAAATTGACCGGGTCAGGTCAGGTCACGGAGCTATGACGTCACAAGAGGAACAGCGTCCGGTACTATTTTTGAAAAGCGCCCGAACCACTATTTTGCTAATTCTTGTCACCTCAATGGGAATATGCAGCAATATTAGCTTCTATAGGGAGCAAATGGACCTCCCAAATCCAAAAATACAATCAGATTTCAAAAATTTAAATTTTGATTTTTCGAATTTCTGCCGCCGACTGTGACCTTGCCGACTTCCGGCGCTCCCAACGCGTCATTTTTAGAGCTAGGGAAACGAAATACATACCAAACGATAGAGAATTGATCAAGGAACACGATAGTGAAGGTTTCAAGTCGATATCTCCCACCGTTTTGCCGCAATCGCCGCGGAAAGTTGGAAAAGTTTGATTTTTTCGGAAAATTTGACCTTTGACCGGTCATAAGTAGGTCAAATGTTGACCTAGGACCAAAAAATATACCACTAATCGCGAGATCTCGTTGAGAGCAATCCGTTGGTTTTTTCCGCTAAGCTCTACGACCTTCCGTTTCGAAACGCCAGGGGGGGTCGTAACAACCCCCCCCCCCCCTGGTCGTTCGTGTTATGAGAAATGGCCTGGTCGTGCGAGGGTTAAGCCGTAAACCTACAAGCTGTATTTTATGAATACGATTAACGGTGCCAAAACGCTGACGGAAATGCTGTGAATGTAAATCGATAGTTACGACGTAACCATCCCTTGGCGGAGCGAGCGTTTGACCGCTCACCCCCTGTTGATCCGCTGCTGACGCGCTGTATGTGTCTGTCCGGCAGGTGCAGTTCCAGTTCACGCTGCTCACGCACACCATGTACAGCCCGCTGCCGGCCGACCTGCTGCCCGTCGACGCCGACGAGGACGACGTCGATACCGACGCGCCGCCGGCCAGCTCGCGCACCATCGTCGCCGTGGAGGTGCAGGACCTGAAGAACGGCGCCACCCACTTCTGGAGCATCGAGAAGCTGCGGTAGGTGGCGGAGCATGATAGCAGTGGAAATAGTCCAGGAAGTCTGGTTAGGGCGGCTGCTGCTAGCTAGTGCTCACTGCTAACGCCTGTTTTGCGTTATGTTATGTTATTACGGCCAAAGGGATTTTGATATGATAAGATCGCACAGTTTTTCATATGTAGATGATCGTTGACCTTTGGCTGGCATCAGATATGGCTTATCTGTGGTAAAGTTGGCGTATTGGGCACAGTAAGCGCGTTAAGTGTTGGTTGTGTTGACCTCATCACACCAGAACGCTCCGATGAAGTAAATTTATGCCAAAATAAAGTAAATATTTGTATGTAAGGCATGAGAGGAGAGCTGTCTCTACTCTCGGCATCTCGACGCGGCTGTCTGTGCGTCTGGTGACCGTGCCACTGGTGTTTGTGTGTCTGTCTGTGGCGTGCTGCCGTAGCTGTCGTCTGGAGCTGGCGCGGCAGGCGAGCGCCACTCTCCGACTCCAGGGGAGTCCGAGTCTGAGTCCCGAGTCGCCTGACTCGGTGCCGGCGACGCGCCACTGTCTGCCGGGCTACCGGCGGCCGCGGCTGGCCGTCCCCGCCCGGCTCTCGGCCGTCCTCAGTAAACTGTGCGTCCCGCCGCGCCCCGTAGACCTCCCATGGGGCCGGAGCCGGTCCGAGCAGACCTCGCAGCTGTTCAGCGGCCCACCCAGGCCGGCCCACGCCTCCCACGCCCGGCACCTACGCTTCGCTTTGGAGAGCTGGAGCGGCACTGCGAAGCTCATGCCTGTTTGAGTAGTTCAGCAATTCTAATTGCAGAGGCGCATTGAAAGCACCGCGTGATCCTCGGTAGCGGGGGTGGCTCCAAATTTAGGACAGAATAGATGTATTCCAAGAAGGTGACGCCGGTCGGCTGGCGCTCCTGATGTAATGACGCCACGTCACTGACCTTTATTTGGTAATTAGTAATCCTACTACATATTCTCAAAGTTTGATTATTGTCAAATGTCTCCATTTTTCAAACGTATTTTCCTTAGCGACTCTTGTTAAAAACTGGATAATGCATATCCCGATGAAAAAGCTGAATAAGAAAAATATCCTGCAATCGTTTCATTTTCAATTCGACTTAATTACTGTCTGTGATAACGAAGGGGCTATTTCCGTCAAAACTTAATATTACATACATCTCAGAACCCAATGTAGATATTTCGCTCTCAGGGGCTGCACGTGCACAAATAATATCAGGAGAGATATTTGATACGTAAATTGGCAAAATGAAAACCCGGAATGTCGTACTTTCCATGATTTTTCCCAATAAAAATGCATGAAATAAAGGTTTATTGAATGCAACAAATTGTCAATTGACAAGTATTTAACTTGGTGAAAATGTTAACGGATTGGTTACTACATGTGTACGAGGTGCTCCAAATGCTCATGGTCTTCGGGCGGCTTCTATTTATCCAGTCCAGTACTACACCTTTTTGCGTTAGCTTTTGACCATTGGACAAAACGTTTGTACACATTCGCCATATAGGTGGCGCTACAAATGGGCGGTTGGTCACAAAGAATCACCATTGTGCAAAACTATTCGGCGGTCTTCCTTAACAACTCGACATTGAGCGAATAGTTCAACATTGTGAAAAACAAATCGTCAATGGTCGAAACTATTCGTCATATGCCGAGCTGGCTCGCTCAGTGCCGAAGCCTGGCGAAGTGTCAAACTGTTTTGCAGATCGCTCATTTCAGTGTTCAATCTGTTTTGCTGAATGGCTGAAATGAAACACACAACGCCGGAATAGTTGTGCTCAATGCCGATTGTCGAAATGGCTCCTCAAACAGTTATGGCGAATGGCTGAATTCAATTGCAAAAAGGTGTAGTGCAGCTACGGCTATAGTTTCTATGCATGATATTTGGCAATGTGTCATCCACATTTGAGGCTTACGCCACTGTAAATACTCCTTAGCGTGATAAAATGATTTCGTCAGCGCTAGTTGACAGTGGTCAAGCGAGAATGCACACCTCACAACAATAGCTTGGCATTTAGTGTTCGGCACCTATACGTTAAAACATTATTTGACTTTCGTTGTAAGTTGTTTGGGTTGTTAACCCGCGCCCTGCTGGGGGGGTGTTTGAACACCCCCATTGTGGTTTTTCGCGAATATCTCAAAAACGGCGGCGCGGAGCGCCGCCGTTTTTTGGTACATCTTATCATGCATCAATTCTACACATGTTGTGAAAATTTCAGAGCATGGTCATTCAAGGTCAGGTCACCAGGTCACTTGAAGTGACCTCACCTCATAAAAAGTTTCAATGTCTGTCATAGCTACACCGAGTGACCGATCGCTTTGAAACTTTCAGCGATTGCTAAGAGCAATAGCATGTACAAAATGTATATCTCAGAATTTTGATATCGATGACCTAAGGTCAGGTCAATTTTGCGACCTCCTTATAATTCAATGGGAGAAAATTGAAATGCGTCTCTTTTGGACGAAAGACATTATAAACACTCCCAAACACTGAATTACAAGTGGTTTAGACACACTGAACATAAAAATGGTGTCCGTGACCCCTGTTTATGGCCTGAGGTCATCTTAGGTCACGAATGGTATCTAACAGTTTTTCGCAAATAACTTTTGATAGAGGCATGCTAGAGCGATGAAAACACCTTAGATGTGTTCAGCTCGACGATACGGATCGACTGATATGCAACATGACCCTTTCCGGTCAGGTCATGACCTTGACCTGAGGTCAAATTTTCAAGTTGACCTTTCAAGGTCAAGTTATAGTCCATTCGATGCGTCTTGACGAGAGGAACACGATGCCGGTAAAAGTAAGCTCGTACAAGGCTTGGGTCAAAAGTTATTGCAGAAAAACTGTTTCCGAAAAAATCAGCTATTTTTGCAGTTTTTGCCCCCTGCAGGCAAAACCGTTGACGTTAGGTCAAATCTGAGAGAATTACTCACAAAGGGCGTTAATAGGGCTATCGAATGCGCTTTTCCGCGGCGCTGTAGCTCTATTGGTTCCCGAGTTATGCGTTGGCTTCTTGGAAATTTTCGACATTCGACCTGGAAATCGGCGAAATTTTGCCTTCAATGACCTCTGGTTACCTGACCTTTGACCTGACCAAAAAATTGACTGAAGTGATTTCGTCATTATTTTTGACGCTCTTTCGAACGCCGCCTTCCGCGTATCGCTACGTGGCCCAGGAGCCGAGTTAGAAGGGGGGTGTTCAAACACCCCCCCCCCCCCCCAGCAGGGCGTGGAAATCCAGGACCCCCAGCCGGGCGCGGGTTAAGTTGAAACGCTTTTCGCAGCACTTTGTGCCGTCAATGAAACCTCGTACCTCGTCTGCAAAGTACGTAGAGTTACCATGAGTGGCTGAGTATTTCAGCCATCATGGTATTGTTCTCTTCTGCTTAAATGATCAATTGAATGATAAAGTTAGTTGTCTGCAGCCGATGATTCTCATCCCTGGACTCCGTCACGTAGGCCCGTGGACGGCGACGTGACCTGGAGCGGAGCAGCCGCTTATCCAATCAGAACCGGGGTCCTCAGCGACCTCCGCCTGAACCAGGAAATGACCCCTCAGACACGGCGGCAGCCACTTCCCTTTACTCCTCCCCCTCTCTCACTCTCTCTCCCCTCTCACTCTCGTTCTATCTCTCCCCCTTCCTCTCTATCTCCTCCCTATCACTCTCTCTCTCTCTCCCCTCTCGCTCTCGTTTTCTTCTCCCTCGCTGTTTTTAGTTCTTTCTCTCGTCCCTCCTTTACTGTTTTTCTCTATCTTCGTTTAGCTACACAGATTCCTTTTTTATCATTAAAATCAAGACATAGAACTTGGCCCCTCTGACCTCTGACCTCCGACCTCTGACCCCGGCGTCTGACCCGCAGGCAGCGTCTGGAGGTGATCCGAGAGCTGTACCGTCAGGAGGCCGAGCTCAGTCCCAGCGCGCCAGACGTCATCAACAGCTCGGTGCCCGGAATGGACCCGTTCTACGAGCGCTTCCCCTGGTTCCGACTCATTGGAAGGTGGGATTTGCTCGCCGTCATTCAACGGAAGGATGGAATCTATCAACGCATGATGCTGTTGGGTTTTTACACGGCTCCAACTGTCGGTGTCAAAAGCTCTTTGATGCCAAAATGAAGAAGAAATGGTCACCATAGCTGGTTTAGCTTTGCATTACATTGACGTGAACGTTCAAACGTTACCACTTATTCTTTTGCACTTCTTCGCCAGTGTTCAGCAGCAGCTATCAACTACACGATAGAAAACCTGTGAGATTTAATTAATAATTGTCCCGGCGATGATAGCCCATTTATCCTCTGTCATTTTACCTTATATCTGCCACTGACCGAGTGCCGTCTATTCTCCAGGGGCTTCGTCTATCTGAGCAGCTTGCTGTACCCGGTGCCGCTGACCCACAAGATAGCCATTGTGAACGCCAAGGGGGACGTCAAGGGCTTCCTCAGGGTGGCCGTCCAGGCTGTACTCGGTAAGCATCGCGGCCGACTGGCAACTAGCATGCTGCACGATGCAATACGATATCACCGGCAGATTAGTCATCAGATGATGTTCTTCCATAGCGGTTGGGCCTACTAAACACTTTGAAATGTTCGACATACCTATTAAAACCAGTATAACGCCTTTTGGGGCGACTAACGGAGCGAGCGAGAGGGTGAGCCTTGCACGTGCGAAATTTCGACGGGGTACCTCCAGCTGACTTGTGCACGGCACCCTACTAACCGGTCTCTAGCGATGTGCCAAATTTGAGCACAATCGACCCAGCCGTTCTCGAGATCTGGAAGCGGCACCCTGCACGTGCGCACGTGCAAAATGGGTCCCAACTGACTTTTGCACGGCACCCTACTAACCGGTCTCTAACCATGTGCCAAATTTGAGCGCCATCGGTCCAGCCGTTCTCGAGATCTGGAATCGACCCCTGCACGTGCGCACGTGCAGCAGCACCCCAACTCTGGCACATGGATATGCAGTGCCTAGTGGGTGCCTACCTACATGCCAACTTTCAGCGCAATCGGCCAAGTAGTTACCGAGATATTGCAACAATTATAAAAGTGACACCTCTTCGTTTTGCACGTGGCACGTGCATAAGGGGTCACCCACATGCATCGGGAATAGTCCAATACTTGGTAGAAGGAATGAAGCTACCCTACGAAAATTACCGCGTGTAAATCGGTCAAGTGGTTGCTGAGATATAAGCGTCGCAGAATCGTGACCACGGCCGGCCGGCCGCTCATACTCAGAAATTTCCGTTAATCTAAGGAAAGACTACGCTCGCTTCGCTCGCTCCGTAATCAGATTGCAATGCTTACTTCTAAGAAAATTTCAGATGAGGACACGATCGAGTGTCCCTCTGGAGTGCGTCAGGCGGCCCGCATCAACTTCTACGATGACGACACAAACGAGACGAGCAGGAACCGATACAACAGCGTGAGCGGCACCAATAAACGCAACATCGACAATGCGGGTCAGTTCACTCAGCGGCGGCCATCGGTTGAAGTTACGACAGTATTAAATGCTATCGGGACATATTTTCCCTTTTCACGATCCTTAACTAACTACTGCATATTTGTTTAGCTCTAAGTACAATACAAAACACAAGGAAGAGTCTATGGGCTTTAGTTTTTATATTGGTCACTGAATGAGAATTTTAGCCTACATCCACCACATCTCAGCGCGATCGGCGCGGAGACTGCCTGGCGGCTATGCTGCGCCGCAGCACACCCTTGTGGTGCGGTACAGCATACCACGCACACACTCCGAGACCGAGATGGACGTCGCATTTGCTCTCAGGATGATGATAGCTCATTTTTGACGTTATTATTAGGACTTGCGCTTCATTAATTTACCCTATGTCATCTAGATTTCAGATTATTTCAGATGATAAGAGAACTTGGTTGAGAAAGTGAGAAGGAGCGAACAATGAAATCCCTACTGTCCAATTCTTGTAATGTCAAATCAAACACATTCGATCCCTTGACTGTCGATCTATACACAGCCAGTGGCGGATCCAGGGGGGGGGGGCAAAATGGGCATTTGCCCCCCCCCCAAACGGCATAATTTTAACATTACGCCTATGGACGATGCATGGAAAGAATCGATAAATTGTTATGCTTTGCCCCCCCCCCCAAAAAAAAAAACTCTGAGCTGGATCCGCCTCTGGTAACACAGCAATAAAATATAATAATTAGGGCCGTCACCTATCTCGACACAATGGCCATCAGTCGAAGCCGACTGAGCGGCGCCATGTGATCTCCTCAGCGGAGGTGGGTATGAACGGCACTGACACGCAGAGCAGCTGGGACAGCTCGGTGGAGGAGTCACTGCCGGCGCACCTGACGCTGGGCCGTCAGTTCACGTTCCGCGTGACGGTGCTGCAGGCCAGCGGCATCCAAGGCGACTGCTCCGACGTCTTCTGCCAGTTCAAGTGAGGGACGCGGGGTGAAGGGCCCGGGCTGGCCGGAAAGTTTGGGGTGGGGGAATTTCGAATCAAGTACCGAAGTTGTTTCCTATAACGTATATTATGACTGGTTTGGTCTGGAGTTTATGAGTTGAAAGATGTGATGAGCATCTTTCAACTCATAAACTCTCTTGTACTCTTGTCCTTGTAAGAACATTCATCCTGATTTTTTATCATTATGAAGATTTAATATGATGATTAGATTAACCCGCGCCCCACTGGGGTCTGCGTATAACACGCCCTACTGGGGGGGGGGGGGTCTTCATAGCCCCCCCCTCCTAACTCCGAAACTACTGGGCCGATCGTCAAAATTCAAACGGCGTCTGATAGCCCCGGAAAAACTGTCGAACGAAACCTAATTTCATTGACCTCAAGGTCACCGATGACGTCACAGGTCAGGTCAAAGTAAAAATTATTAGCATTTTGGCTTGTTCACATTTTGGGCTCTGGCCGCCGTCTTACAAGTCAGATCAGGCTCATTTTTGATTTACACACTCGATAACAGATGCTCTAGATACCTGGAGGGTACCAAACTTGTACTTTGATTTTCAGTTCAGGGTCACCGGTCAGGTCATCACAGGTCACGGAAATATTATATCATGCGTCGGTCACGTGACACATGTTTTATGGTCCATTTAGGCCATTGATTTCGAACTTGATGTCGTCTGTGTCATTCGAGGTCATTTTGAGTCGAATTTAGCTTAGGTCAGGTCACTTTCAGGTCAAAAAAGTCAAATTTTGAAGTTGAAAATTTTCAACAAAAAAGGTGTCGATTAGATGCAGTTTGAGTCCAGGAACACGATGGTGCTATTTATATCGATGTACGATGTCAAATACGTACTGAAAATTGATTTGAAAAATTAATAATTGTGAATTTGTTACAATAATCCGTATAACTTGGCCATTTTTGAAGATATTTAGCTAAAACTTGCTTTAAGTAGTCATAAGCATGCGTTCTGTCACATATATTCCGGTTTTTTCTAAAAATCCAAAACTTTATGAAAAAATATAAAAATATAAATTTTAAATTTTATTATATAAAATTTTCGAAATTTTCAAAATTTTGAAAATCCGATATAGCAGTTTGATAGCACAGTCAATTCTGAGTCCTTTCCTGCAAAGAAATTGGATCTAGCTTAAAAACTGAGCTCTTGGGAACGATTGCCGTGGTTCAATGTTTTGCGTCAAAATCGGCCGAACATGACGTCACTCTGACGTCATTTCCGGCCGACCTATGGTAGCTACGAAGTTCAAATTTTGACACAAGGTGTCAAATTGATGCAGCTGAAGGTACTGAAAGTTTGGCGTCGATACGTCAAGCGGTTTGGAAGTTATTGCAGAAAAACGGGAGGGGGGCTATGAATAGCCCCCCCCCCCCCAGTGGGGCGCGGGTTAACGATTACAGTTATTCTACCAAGCATTACTATGGGAGCATTGCATTTCGGTCTTTGGTGTGAGACACATTGGTGGCATTTTTTCCTCTTTATTTACCCGTTTAAACGTTGCTATATCACCAAAAGAGGCTCCATTCTAGAAAATTTGTCCCAGCAACTTTGCACCTTCACCTAACCTCTGGCTTATAGGAAATGGGTGTGGTTCACCGAAGCTGATTAATATGCCTACACTGTCGGACAATGCACATTATCAGGTCACGGCAAAGATGATCTAACGAAGGTCGATCGATTTTCTTATTTCAGTTTCCGGCACCGCGACGACGAGGCGTTTTCGACAGAGCCCATCAAAAACGCCGGCCAGGCTCAGATCGGCTTCTACTACGTCCAGAATGTAAGAAAAACATGGCAAAAAGGGTCCGGGGAGCACTTCAGTATGACCATTTTGTACGAATATAGTATTTGGAGTCGTTATGCATTTTACCGAAGGATCCCATGTCGACCGTGTATTGTGTCTCCAGCCAGTGGGCCTGATCCACTGTTCTCCCGTCACAAGGTAACACGTCTGTTCATCCCAGGGTAACACGTCTGTCCATCCCGGGGTAACACATCCGTCCATCGCAGGGTAACACGTCCGTCCATCGCAGGGTAACATGTCCGTCCGTCCCCAGGGTATTATGTCCGTCCCTCTCAGGGTAACATGTCTGTCTGTCTGTCCCCGGGTAACAAGTCCGTCCGTCCCCCGGTAGTAAATGTCCGTCCGTCCACGAGTTACATGTCCGTCCATCCCCGGGAAGTAACTATGTCCGCCCGCTGTGCCTCAGATCACGGTGACGGTGACCCGCACGTTCATCGAGTACCTGAAGACGGAGCCGCTCATGTTCGAGGTGTTCGGCCACTACCAGCAGCACCCGCTGCACGACGACGCCAGGCAGGACTGCTGCGGGTAAGCGACAACCGACAGAGGCGACAGCTCTTACTGAAAGAATTTCTACAGTCATAATCATTAACTATGTCCTATTGTTGCCGAATCATTAATCCAACCAATAACCATGCAACTTTGTTGCCATCATTATCTTTTTATCACCTCCGTCGTCGTCCTAATCAAAATCAGCAGTCATAACAGCGGCAATAGGAGTGTCACTGTCTTCCTAACACCCTTCACAGCACCACCTAACCCCCCCCCCCCCTGTGTGCCCCCAGGCGGCCCCCGCCGCGGCGGCTGCAGCCCCCGGCGATCCCCATCAGTCAGCCGGTGCGCTCGCCAAAGTTCGGCCTGCCGCACCAGCCGTGCTCCACGCAGGTCCACAATCGTGACGACATCCTGGTGTGGTTCGAGATCTGTGAGCTCGGTCAGTCCCAGTGCCTCAGTGGCCACACTAGATTGCTGTGTATACGAGGGGGTACCCAAAAGAAACGGGAATTGTTTCATATCTGTTTATTCACTGATCCCTACACATCGTCACTCATGTCATTCTTAAAGTACTCTCCCTGCGAGACAATGCACCTATGCAGACGCGTTTTCCAGCTCTCAAAGCTCAGCTCTGGAACTCTTGCAAGGTGATGCCTTGTAGAGCCATCGTCGTTTTTGCTTTTACCTTATCAAAGTCGTCGAAATGGTTTCCCTTGAGGTCTTTTTCATTCTGGGGAGCAGGAAAAGGTCACAGGGTGCCAAATCCGGTGAAAAGGGAGGGTGGATCCGTGGGGTCATGCATTTTTTGTCCAAAATTGTCTGACACTCAAGGCGGTGTGCGCTGGCACACTGTCGCGATGAAATCACCACTCCCCGCTTCGCCACCTGTCGGGGAGTTTTCGTCTCACCGTGTTTCACACACGCCGCAGAACGTCCAAGTAAAACGTCTGATTGGCAGTTTGACCAGGGAGGAACAATTTCCTTTTGCACACTTCCCTTTGCATCGAAAAAAACAAATCAGCATTGTCTTGACATTTGACTTCACTTGGCAAGCTTTTTTGGGGCGCTTTTGGGATAACATTTGACCACTTTTGAAGTGCGAAAATCATTCATAAACCCACGTCTTGCTCACGGCAGCATATTTGTATGCTACTTGAAGCATTGGAACCGTTTCAGTCGCGGACTTCCCCAGCAGGAAACAAAATTTCACAGATGCGCGTTGTTGCTCAGTTCCGCTATGCATAAAAAACGACGGATCGGGCGGGAGTGCTTCAATAAATACGTGCGCCACGCGGCCGCGCCTCTTTATTTCGTCACCTCACGGTGCAGACTAAGTCCCAGGGGCCAGACTGGTTTGCCCCTAGCCGGGCAATGCCGAGCTACAACTGGCTTGGCCTACAGAGAACGATTCCCATTACTTTTGGGTACCGCCTCGTAGATCGACGGTCAAGCTGTCGGCGAGCTGTCGGCGGGAAACCAGCGAGTCCGGGTGCTCAATGATTGGCAAAGGATTGTAAAAAGTCGCGGTCAACAGGGTTAATTGTGGAGCCTCGGAGCTACAACACTTTTCAATAGTTTTTTGCACTTGTTTTCAGTGTAGCGTCATTGTGATGTGATAAACATTGCTATTTACAAATTTGCGTGAAGTTCGGCTGAAATGACGTGGACCACTGCGTGCCTCGTGCCTCTCCGTCTGACCCCCATCCCCCCCCCCCCGGCAGCCCCCAGCGGAGAGTATATGCCCGCCGTGGTGGACCACTGCGACGACCTGCCGACGCGCAGTCAGTTTCTGCTGCACCAGGGCGTACAGCGCCGACTGCGTGTCACCGTGGTGCACGAGCGCTCCTCTGAGATCAACTGGCAGGACGTCAGAGAGCTGGTCGTCGGTGAGGAGAGGGGAGAGGAGAGAAGAGAGGGAAGGAGAGGGGAGGAGAAAGAGACACACAGACAGACAGACAGAGCGCTCCTCTGAGATCAACTGGCATGACGTCAGAGAAGTGGCCGTCAGTGGGTGGCCATGAGGTTCAGAGGCGCGGGTCGAGGTCACCGCTCGGAGCTCAATGGTTGAGGTCAAGGATCGGAGTCAAAGTGATCAGCTATTCACCGGCCTCAAAGCTATGTTGTGGCACGTTGTATAGCTTTAGCGTTTTGTTTTATAGTTTGACGTTTAACTTATACAATGTATGTCTTGCTCTTTAATTGTTCCCCGTTTTGCTTATCATTTTACCATGATGAAGCAAAATAACGCCCTGTTGATTTCACTGGCTACCTGACAGAGAGTCGCTCCCTGCGCCCGCCCCGTGCCGGCTGTGGTGAGCTGACACGACCCACGCATCCCCTCAGGTCGGGTGAGGAACACGGCCGAGTACGACGAGGATGACGAGAACGACAGCACCGTCATCTCGCTGGGCCTGTTCCCCGGAGAGTACCTCGAATACGCCGGTACGTCCGTGAACTGAGTGGGCGCATTCGTACCAAACAGGGGTGCGGAGCCGGAGCCGGAGCTGGAGCCGGAGCCGCCGGAGCCGGCATATCTTTTTTTCACGTTTATTGACAAATCGTACAAATATGACACAAGTGCATCTATAATAATCGAAGGCTCTCCAGCCCAACAAGGACAATCTCTGTCATGGTTTCTGACGCCGGTTTTCCGTCTATGCTAAACGAGCGCCCCAGATTGAGGCGTTTAAACCCGCAAAACGCCTGATATGCACCGACACAATAGGGCTTTCAAAACCCCCACAACGTGCGAGTAATCTTTGGCAAGCGTACACGCTGGCATATACATACAGTGTTGGCAATATACACAAAAACGGACGCCACATTTCAGCTGCATTTTGACTGGGCGGCGGCCGAGCTATAAAAATACCTATAGCTCGCCGCCGCCACCACGCGACGTGGTGTGGCCCGCCTGGCCAAGCCGGGGCGTTGTCCCATCATGGACTAAAGAAAACGCCCCGGCCCCGGGGAGATCTGGGGGATACCTCCCCAGCCGGGGAGAGCTGTGGGTTACCTCCCCGGCGCTCCAGGCGGGCCATCAGCCACCGCCCGCGCCGCCCGGCGAAGGGGTATCGCGGGCGGCGCCCCCTATCCACCGGCCGGGCATGCGAGCCGTCGACTTGTAGGGCCGGCGCCCCGCACGCCCGGCCGGCCGACCGGCCCCAGTCAAAGAGGCCGGTCCCGGGTTGGCCCGGATGGGTCATGGGAGCGGTGGCTGATTTTTTGCAGTTTTTTCATATATTTCTTATACAATCACCGCGAACCACACACACACACTATCATATATTTGCGGTATGCTCTGTGGGCCGAGGCGAGCCAAGGAGCCAGTTGGTTTCGCCCCTTCTCTGACCTATTCTTGTCGACCACTTAGCATTAAAAGAGTTCATTTTATTGTTCACCTTTGCCCAATACATCTCACTTGTCTGATCTATCGTAAGTATGGTTATAAGTGTGTCTACCGAAAGTCTCCTCCCAGAGTAAATCATGTACACGCCTACACTAACAATATGGTTTATAATCGCATTTTCTGTGCCGCCTAGAATTACCTCCTTCACCCTGGTTATCCTTTCTGGTGTGTTTATCTGAATTCTGGTCAACCACGTTTCAACATTGTCCCAGAAAGCCTTAATCCTCGAACAATACCAGAATTTATGCTCTATATTTTCACGCTTCGTACAATAACTGCATGAATCGGTTCCCATTAATCCAATTTTGTTGAGAAAGCTGTTTGTTCCTACTGTTCTTGTAATGATTTTATACCTAACTGCTCTATACTGCTGTGGAGTGCCCCTGAGACTTCTGTATATTTGCTGCCAATCGATTTGACCCAGCCTTCTCTCCCAGGACATTTCCCATATGTTTCTGACATCTCTCACTCTTTCCTGTTTGAAGACATTTTTTAAATGTGATGTACCCGTGTTTCTAGAAATAATCAAGCTTATTAATGGATCTATACTTGGTCCAAATAACTTCACCTTTTCTCCCGATTCCTTCCATTCTCTAGGTAAGCTACTTATTAGTGTTGCATAATCCAGAAAAGTGGTTGTAATGTTGTAGGTCCGTTTTAATTCCTCAAAACCTAGTAAAGATCCATCTGTTTTTAATAAGTCATTCAACGATCTGATGCCTTTGACATACCATTCTTCAATCCATGAAGTTTTGAACTTAGTAGCATCAGAAAAAAAGATAGCTGTGGAGTTTAGCTCCTCGACACCTAGCTTCTGTGAGCATATTTCCCTGAAATTTGCTAATGCTATCATCACGTCTCTCCAGAATAGATTCTTAGTACGAGATGCCTTTCTTTTCAAAGCTGTTTGACCCATTTGCCAGAAATATATATTTTTACCCGTACTTTTCTGTGCAACTGCGTTCCATATTCCTTGCTTTACAATGCACCTCCTAATCCAAGATAGCTTCAAGGCTCTCATATAACTTGTTAAATCAACCATGTCCACTCCTCCATTGAGATGGTTTTTCATCAAAGACTCCCGTTTGATTTTTTCTCCTTTTCCATGCCACAGAAAGCTGAAAAGAGTCTTGTTAAGATCTTTGATAATTTTTTTTGATGGGTCAGGGAGCGTTGTGAGCAGGTGACTAATCTTGGAGATCAGCATCGATTTTATTATTACCACTTTTCCTTCCAGTGATACGTTTCTGAACTTCCATTTCGTTATTTCTCTTTTGATTTCCTTTACCTTCTCTGTGTACAGTTCTGTTACTTTTTGCAGTTCATTATCGAAAGTGACCCCTAGGACTTTAATCGTTTCACTCCACTTTACAGCTAAATTTCTCTGAAGAAAACGATTTTCTCTGCATGCCTTCCCTATCCACATAGCTTGAGTCTTATCGAGGTTTGGACTTAGTCCCGAATACTTCGCGAACCATCCTATCTCTTGGAAGAGTTCCATCATGCTTGTTTTCTCTGGTTCGAGTAAACAAATCGTATCGTCTGCATACATGAGCACTTTGTGTTCCTCATTGTCTATTTTAATTCCTTTGATAGCTGCATTTCCTCGAATCTTTTTCGCTAAAACGTCCATCACAAGAATAAACAAGTAACAACTTAGCGCATCCCCCTGTCTACAAGACCTTGTTAGCATTATTTTACTCGACAAATGACCATTATACAAAATTCTGGAAAAGGCTCCAGCATACAGTGTGTTGAACCAATGTGTAATACTATGCGGAAAGTTTTTCTGCTCCAGGACTTTTTTAATGAAAGTCCAACTGACTGAATCAAAAGCTGCTTCTATATCCAGACTTACTAAGACCCCGTTCTTTTGTTCTTGATTCAAGAGTTGGATAACGTCGTAAATCATCCTGATATTGTCCCCAATAAATCTCCCTTTTAAATAGGCAGACTGGCAATCCTCGATTATGTCTCCTAGCACGAGTTTTAATCGATTTGCAATGGCACCTGAAATTATTTTGTAGCTAGTATTTAGGAGTGTTATTGGTGTATATGACTTGATCAAATCTCTGGGTCTATTTGGCTTAGGTAACAACACGATTATTCCTTCTTTTAAAGTTAGAGGAACTGTACCCTTTGTGGCACTCTCAACTACCATAGCATGAAAAAAGTGTTTTATGTCTGCCCAGAAGAATTTATAAAACTCTACGGAAAAACCGTCACTACCTGGAGACGTTCCATTTTTCATTCTCTGTAGCGTTGATCCTAATTCTTGCATGTTCAACGGCTTATCTAGATTGAGCTTATCATGGTCATTTACTTTTTTAATATCCATGTTTGATAGATATTCATCGTAATTAACTCCCTCTAAAAACTCATCCTCACTTTTGAACCTTTTTTGATAAAATCTACGGAATAGATCAAGAAATTCTATTTGATTCCTTGTGCAGCCTGCTGACGATCTGATGCATGGTATCCTCTTACTTTCGTACCTCCTTTTTTCTAACGTAAGAAAATACTTTGTTGGTTTTTCCGCATTTTCCCTCCATACAGCTCTCGCCCTAACCAAACTCCCTTCCAACTTGATCCTCCTTACGTCTTCCAATTCTTTTTTCTTGTTTTGTATCTGATCGTACAATGAGTGAGTAGGGTAGCCTGGGGCAAGACGCCCCAGATAATTTATTTTGCTACATAACTTTTATTCCACATAACCTGGAAGGCCAAATTTGTGCTCAATGCGTTCTTTGGACATTTTACTTTAAATTCCACCCCTCAAATTCATTCACTTATGATCGGACTCCCAGCTAGGAAGTGGTTTGTGAAGCAACTGCAAGTAGGGCGTTTTGCCCCAACCCCAGGGCAAAACGCCCCACGGCCCGGGGCAAGAAGCCCTAGACTCTAGATTAAAGATTAAACATGCTAGTTGACTAAATCTTATATGAAAGGTCCGTTGGACCTTGGGAGGCATGGCACTGAAGTTAGCACCTTCCATCCTATCAGGTGTTCAGCTACGACACTATTGTATGAGCAGGTTTTTCACCTGCCTCATAAGGCCAAATAATAAATTATTGCAATGCAAATGTTAACAAAATACTTCCTTTGCCATCCAGTTGCTGAGAAAAGTACATATAAATGCATAGAAACATACCGTTCGCCAGCTACCGAACGTTAGGAAGTGGGTAGTCCGAACAACACATGAGGTAAAACGCCCCATGGGGCTTTTTGCCCCGCGACCTACTGGGGCGTTTTACCCCATCACGTAGTTCGGTCAGAGAACAACGCCTTGCACTCCAGGAAGACATAATTTAACACGAACCAACCCGGCATTGTAAGCGTTAGACAATAGTTGTTCAAAATACATAAAAGTCGTTAACCTGATGTGGACGATAAAAGATCGCCATGATGCATAATCTGACAAGAAAACATAAAAATCACTCCAAAAACACATTTTTGGCTATATCTCCCTAAAGAGTCATCACAATTTATTTCCAGTCTGCTCATATAATGATCGTATAGTGCACGTTTTATAGAAGAGAGGATGTTTCCCCAGAACCTTGCCAGTTCCGAGAAACATCGGTGAGGCGTTTTACCTCGGCGGGGCGACTTGCCCCGGTCTACCCTACCTAAAGCGTCAAGCTCTTTCTCTAAAAGAAGTATATCTCTTTCCAATTGGTTTTCTCGCCTTCGTTCCTCCCTTCTCTTCCTAATGCCGAAAGAGACTGTTTCTCTTCTTAACGTCAGCATCAGAGTTTCAAAAAACAAAGATGAATCAATTGTCATTTCTATCTTTGTTGAGGTCTCCAAAATGTAGTCATGTGCGTATACGGGAAGAGCGTATTCTACTACCGTACTCTTAATCGTATCTTTTATCATTTTGACGTAATTTTTGTCTCTTAACAATGATGCATTGAATTTAAAGAGTCCTCTTCCCCTCGGCTGCTTTGAGAAGTCCACCGTCAATGTAATAATGGAGTGATCCGATCTATAACCTGGTTGAATGTCCGCCTCATCAACATAACTTTCCAGAGCAGCA